CTGAGATATTAGAGGATGAGTATAAAGGACTTGAAAAAGAGTTACAGAAAATGCCACAGAAAAAGGACATTAAGTTAAAAATGGATATATTTAAACATAAAATGGGATTAATGGAAAAAGAAGAACTAGCACAGAAAATCAGAGTTGCAAAACAGAACTATTTTGAAGATGCAAACAAACCAGGTAGATGGTTAGCATATAAACTGAGAAAGGAGAAAGAATCAATGTAAATATTGCAATTAATAGATGATCAGGGCCAAATTTGCTATGGAATTAAAGAGAAGGAGGAAATTATATGAGACTATTATGGGAAACTATACACAGAAGAAAATATTGATGAGGAAAGAGTTAAACAGTACTTACAGAATGCTAATCTACCCCAAATACCTAAAGAGATTGAAACAATGTTAGAAAGCAATATAACGATGATGGAGTTAACTGAAACACTCAAGAAGCAAAACAACGGAAAGGCACCAGGCCCAGATGGACTTCCGGCAGAATTCTACAAAACACTACAAGAATTATTGAACTTTCCATTGCTAGAAGTTATGAATGAAGTTATGTTAAAGAAGAAGATACCTAAATCATGGTCAGAAGCTTATATTACACTTGTCCCAAAAGAGGAGGCCGATCCATTACAAATAAAGAACTCTAGAGCTATTCCTTACTAAATGCAGATTATAAAATTTTTGCTTCAATATTGGCAGAAAGACTTAAAAAATACCTAAATAATTTTAACTGCCCTGTTCAAAATGGATTTCTGCCAAAGAGACAAATTAAAGACAATATGAGAGTAATCTTGGACATTTTGGAATACTACGAGGCACACCCTGAAAAACAAATGGCTTTGATATTTTTAGATGCACAGAAGGCATTTGATAATGTGAATTGGCGATTCATGTTATTACAGCTGGAACAGATGGGCTTTGGTAAAAAATTCATCCAAGCAATAGAAGCTATATATCATAACCAAACGGAAAAGGTAATAATAGAGGGAGAACTGACAGACTCTATTGATATAAGAAAAGGAACAAAACAAGGGTGTCCACTGTCACCTTTGTTGTTTGTGTTAACCTTGGAAGTGTTAAACAGAAATATTAGAGAAGAAAAGGATAAAAAAGAGATGAAAATTAAAAAGGAAGAATTCAAGTTACAAGCATTCACAGATGATCTGGTATTCATTTTAGAAGACCCACTAGAAACAGCATTAAAATTGATAGAAAAGATAGAGGTATATGGGAAGGTGGCTGGTTTGAAAATAAATAAAGACAAAACATAGATTTTGACAAAGAATATGTTATCAAGACAAAAAGAAGAACTGGCAGATGTATTGAAAATCCAGGTCATGAATAAGATCAAGTACTTGGGGATTCATTTGACAGCAAGATGTAGTACACTAAAAGAGAATAATTATATTAAACTTAAGCAGTAGATAGCACTAGATTTGGTGAAATGGGAAAATTTACAACTGTCATTAATAGGGAGAATATCAATAATCAAGATGAATATATTACCCAGAATTTTATATTTGTTCCAAACAATTCCAGTTAGGCTTGGAAAAGATTATTTTGAAGACTTAAATAAAATTGTGTTGAAATATATATGGCAAGGTAAAAAAGTGAGAATAAAATTAAAACTTTTGCAAGATGCTAGAATAAGAAAATTGGTTTGCCTAATTGGAAGTTGTATTACCAAGCTACAAATTTGATGTGGGTTAAGGAATGGATAACATTAAGAAATGCTAGATTGTTGACATTAGAAGGACACGATCTGTTGTTGGGGTGGCATGCTTTTTTATGGTATAAAGGAACTAAAACACAGGGGTATTTTAGAAGACATTATATATGGGAGTCTCTGTGGTTAAACTGGGAGAAGACTAAAAAGCAATGTTATTTGAAAATTCCAGTCTGGTTATCGACTATTGAAACATTTTCCTATCCTATAATATATAAAAAAGAACAAACAGTTAGATATGGTGAAATATTGGATGAAAAGGGTGAACTTAAATCTATGCAAAAATTAGAGGAACAAGGTATAAAGATGAATTGGTTTTCAGATGTGCAAATACATTCAAGGTATGATAAAGATTCTAAAACAGAAGGTTTCTATGATAAACTGACTGATTTAGATAAGATTTTGACAGGTACTGATGAAAAAGTGATTAAAAAATTGTATGGCTATTTATTAGAAATTAAACTAGAAGAAGAACAAGAAACAATGATTGCTTGGGGTAAGAATTTTGGATATGGGATTGATCTAGAGAAATGGCAAAAATTGTGGTCTCAAAATTATAAAATGACAATGTCAACAGCATATAAAGAAAATTTGTATAAGAAGTTTTACAGGTGGCATTTTCCCCCAACAAGAATAGCAAGAATGTTCAAGAACAAATCTGAAAAATGTTGGAAATGTCATCAGGTACCTGGCTCATATTACCATATGTGGTAGACTTGCGTGGATATTGGACTAAAAATATTGGACTAAAATCCACACATGGTTAGAAAAAATGACAAAAAAGCATATAGACTTGAAACCAGAGATATTTTTATTGGGAATTTTACCTGAAATATATAGTAAAGAATTGAAATATCTGATTGTAAATGTATTAACAGTGGCTAGGATTGTATTTGCCAAAAACTGGAAAAATGAGAAAATACCATCACAGGAGGAAATTATTAAGAAAACATTGGAATGTGCTGAAATGAGTAGATTGACATTTGAAATCAGAGAACAAGATGATAAACAATTTTGTAAAATTTGGGATCTATTCTATCAATGATTAGACAATAAAACATGGTAATGAAATATGTAGATTTTTTTAAAAAATAATGAATATATAAAGATGTATTTTTTATTATATCTACAAAATGATTGTAGGATAGATTTGAGATGATAATATGAACTGTCATAAAACAAATTAAGTAAAATATGGATTATCTCGTAAAACATGAATGAATAATAGTATAGTCAAATGATTGATTAACAATGATATTAATGTATTTAATATTTGATTGACAATATGAGAATATATACAATGTAATTGTAATTGAAGACTACGAAGTGGAAGCACAAAACCATTTGTAAACCAACAGACACACTGTATGTATATATAGAAGATGGACTGATGTTTTTTTGTTTGTCTATGTTTGTCTTAAAAAACAATAAAACTTATAAAAGTAGCAAAAAAGTAAAGACAGTCAGCTGCATGCTACAACATAGTAACTTAATAGTTATTATTAGAACACAGTCTCTCTTTTGTCTATAGGTATCAAAAGCAGAAGAAAAAATACTACAGCAGCAAAATAAGGAAGATATTACAATGGGAATAAGAGAGGGAAATTTTACCTAAGCTACAGTAATGTAGAATTAATTCCCCCCTCCTGTCTTTTTTTTAAAAAAGTCCTTTCTATTTTTACTTCTCAATTCAGACATTTGTTGGAAATGAACCACATTACAAACTAAAATGAAACTCCTAGCATAAATGAGTCACACTGCAAAGGAAAATGTGATTGCTTCAGTTCTTTATTTTTGCAATATGTTACCAAAACCCACGTATTGCCACAGATGTAGTTTTCTATGTCTTGTTCCTTACAGCATTAAGGGACAGGTTCCCAGGAGGGCATATCCTATTGGCCTGCTGTGGCCCCTCTATCATCCCAGTCCCCTTATCTCCCTCCCGCCCTCAGCCTGCACTGCTACTGCCAATATTCACACAAACTCTTACCAAGGTAGTCCCTTGCTTTTTCCCATACCCCCAGACTAGAATAAGCAGATTTCCATTAATAGTCATCAAAATACAGCTTTGTTTCACTCTGGGCGCACAGACCACCCAAAATTAACAGTTCTGTATACTGGAAAGAGTTTGTGAACAGAATATTCTGCATAATGCCACCCAGTATCCTCAAAACTAGGTGCCTGGGAACCATCAAACTCTGGAAAGTCATAGGTTTCTCACCAGATGGAACTATTTACAAGATATTTAAATATTTTTGTAGATGCATATTCCTTGCATCTACAAAAGGAGGGTAGGATGAGAGTAAAACTGGTGAGGCTAAGGTGGAAAGCAAAACTGTGAAACTTAGTCATATCTGGCCTGCCCTTGATGGCAATTGTTTGGATGTTTCTTGCCCACTGGCATAATGCTGAAAGGGCATAGCAGCAGAGCTAGAGACCAAAACCAACAATGTCTGGTACACCTGCAGAATGTGAAAATGGGGTTCTATGAGGTATAGGGGAAGTACTGTGGGATAGGCAATATGGAGAACTCCTCTATGATAGAATTACTTTATGCCAACACAAGAAGAGTTGGAGTATATTGATCATAAGCAGGTTACTCATCAAAGCAAAAAAAAAATTGAGACTATGTTGGATTTGTTCACGTGAACAGAGAGCTTTGGATAAGCACAGGTTTTTTTTTTTTGTCAGACAGCACCTTATTCTATATACTGATAAGATATTTTTGAAGATGTTGTCTGTAACCTCCTGCTAAAGCAGAACTTTAAAAATGTAAGTCAAGAGAGGCATCCTCTATGTATTTTATAGGTATTCTACAGAAAGAAATTCAACAGAGAATGAACTTCTGACTGCTGTGGCAATATAAAATTAGTAGCTTGCATGGAGGTACTGAAGAGGCCGATCCTTGTAGCTTTAGCAAGTCAGCCCTGTTTTTTGACCGCAAAAAACAAACAAACCCTGGTGTCACCTCCACCTCCACCTTCTGCTACTTCTCTTTCTTCCGTCACCATCACACGTCCTTTCCTTCATTAGTAAGTCGACGGAAATCAGTGAGTGAGTGTAAGGAGGGTTTTCTGATGACTGGAGAATTTTTAAAACATTCTTCAACTTCCTTTGCTCGAAGAAGTCTGAGTAACGCTTTCCTGAGCATCGCCTCAGCTCGGCCTTCCCTCTTCCTGGGGGAGGGGGGGGGAAGGGGAGGAGGGAATCTCCTCTACTCTCGGCTGGGCGGCGCTGAGCCGAAGAGGCGTCCCTGCAACAGAACATTCCTATGACGTCGCTCGCCTTATAGGGACAGAGCCGCGCGGCTCCGGCGTTCATTCAGATAAATTGCCTCTTCTCCGGAGCGGAATCCCCTGCTTGAATTCTGGGAGGGAGATGCGAAGGCAGGGAAGGAGCCACAGAGCAGCAGGGTCGAGGCCGGGAGCGGCTTTAAAGGAAGCGGGCTTGGCTGTCTCTCGGGTGTCGTTGTTTCAACTAATCACCCGCCGAGGAAGCTGAAGCGCCTAAGGGGCGACCCTTTGCGAGGCTACTTCTGAGAGGGAAAGGAAAGGAGCCAGAGGCGGAAAGAGCAAGCCAAGATGAAGGTAACGGCTCTGGATTCTCGTCGACTCAAGCAACTGCTGCGGAAGGATCCCGCCCTGTGCCTCGTCCTGGACTGCAGACCGTACCTCTCCTATTCGGCCTCTTGCCTCCGAGGGTCTCTCAACGTCAACCTCAACTCAGTGGTCATCCGCCGCTCCCACGGGCGGCCCGTGCCTTTACACTTCGTGGTGCCCGACGAAACGGCCCGGGGGCGGCTTCTGCTCCCGCCGGCTGCTTGCTCGGAAGAAAGAGAAGACAGGGACGCCGCGCCGCCTCGAACCTGGACGGCCGTGGTAGTCCTGGATCAAAACACCAGGCACTGGCGGAAGCTCAAGAAAGAGAGCACGGCGCAGATCGTGCTGAACACGCTGTCTGCAAGCCTGCCGGAGGCTGGAGCCCGCGTCTGCTTCCTCAAAGGTGAGGCCGTCGAGGAGAAAGAAGCGCTGCGGGGTCGAGGCGGGGCCGGGGAGAGATGGTAATGGGGAGACGGGATCGGCCCAGTAGCTCCTGGGAAGCGTTGCTGCAGGGAATTTGGAAAGGCGAATCTTGCTAAACCAGATCCCCAAGAGAGGCTCCGTCTGGATGTCGCCGGTACCCCGGCAGATTTAAATGAGCGGATGCCAGAGGCCGGCGGCGCTGCTAACCATGAGCAGCCGCGGCCGCCTTGTTCTTCCCGATACTTGTCCAGATGCAAGGCCGCGTAGGTTTCGCGGAACAAGGGAGAACCGGCACGGTCGCGTAAACGGCACGTGTCTAATGCAATCTACTGTATGCTAAACGAGAAAGGAGGAGAAAAGAAGCATTTTTCGCAATTCCGTTCCACAATTGAAAGGGATTGATCAGTAGGTTTTCCTTTCAACAGATCCTCTTCTCCTGACTTTGCTGTAACTTTTTTCCTAACGAGCGAGGACAAAAAGTCCATTGGAAATCTTATTCGTCATAAATGCATGCAAAGAAAAAAGCAAAGGAAGGAGGGGCAGAATCAAAATCAATACATCTCCTGCGCTCTTGTGTACATATTTAGGTGACTAAGGAATCAAAACTCACCTAGATCTGTCTGATCTTTTAGTCCAGCAAGAGAAAATGTGTGTGTGTGTGTGTGTGTGTGTGTGTGTGTGTATAGAGAGAGAGAGAGAGAGAAATAGAGAGAGAGAGAGAGAGACATTAATGACTTCACCATCCCCACATGCCAGATTTAAAAAACCATCCTGTCTTTTATTCTTGAGTTTATTTAAATATGCACTTGGCTGATACATAAGTAGTATGGTGGTTTCATGAAAGTATTAATAGAGATGGAAAGCAATCAGAAATATCAGAAAGCGTCTGCTTTTAAGTTAAAGGAATGCAGAATGTAGAAGTCAGCACTGCCTCCTGTGGGGCAGATCCTTATTTGTGTATTCCAAGGTACTCAAACATGTTTGTATGTAACAAAAATGGTCTATTTCAGATAGCAGAAGCATAGTACTTTTATTAGGAACATGTCTTTGTTGATCCTGTTAGAGGCATAATGTTTAATAATATTTTAATAATATTTAATAATATTTTGTCATCTTTTTTCTCTCAATGATATCAAACTAGTGCAGGAAAATCTCTACACAGTATGCTAATTCAAATGCTGGCATAAAGAATTTTATTTTTAAGAAGACTCATGTCATATAAAAGATTTTGAAATCTGATTCCTTTGATGGGTGGAAACAAATGAGAGGATATTGTAATTCAGGAATATTTCATCACATACTTAACAAAGCACATTTTTAATATGCTACGTACTAAAACACATTACACTTTGGTTCTGATCTGCTTATTAACTGCTTTGTAGTTTGGTCTTTTAAATGGCAGTCTCTGTCTTCCCATTTCCAAATCAAAAAGTAATTCTTGGAAGCTTTATCTCCTATATTCTTAGCATTCTATTTGAAACAGCAAAGTGATCTTAGGAAATGAATGTAAATATTACTCCGTGCTAAAAGGTTTTCCTGTTTTAAGCTCATTTGAGCGTGAGATACCCTGGTAGGAAATTATCAGGGTGATTTTTAGGCTGAATGCTATCCATATTGAATATCCTGAAATAGCATGCTTATTATTCCTATAGATTCGCATGTTATCTTCTGGAAACTGGCTATACTGGTAAATTATGTTTGAGTCACAACTTGATGCTGTTCTTATGTTTTTAGTTCAGACTGAATGTTCACAATGAACTAATTGAAGAACCTTGAGGCTTATCCCAAGGGTTTTGTCTGTTTGTGATGTAGGAGAGGATTCATTGTTGCGTGGAATCAATTTTCTAAGTGGGCCTAGACTCTGTCAGGGATGAGTCAGAAAGCTTGTCAGCTAACGGCAACCACAAATGCAATCCTGCTCTTCAGAGAATATTTTTACTGCTGAGTGACACAATCCTTTCAACGGCCCCCCATCAATATTTTTGAAAGCTTTCAGCATGTGTTATGTCACTTTTTCTGATGCACCACTCACAATAGGACCTTTTTTTGAAATGGTTTGCTCGTTGATTTTAAAGTTTTAATTGAATTTAGCGCTGAGTTTAAGTGAACAGTCACAAAAATCTTTAAAATTTACTCCTTGATTACTTCATTGGCAAGACTACTTCCTTACATAGATAAATCATAAATATTTCATTGTGGAAAAAAATTTTATTGAAAGAGTTTAAAATTAAACTATGATTTCTTCCCCTGTTGGAAGAAATTATTTGCTATATAAGAGAGCGGGTTTTTGCCACTTTCCTGTCCCTAGAATTTTGATCTTTAACAGTGAAAAGTAAGAATCTCTTTTTTGCAAGACAGAGCAACGCAGTATTTAGTGGAAATCATAGCATCAGAACGCAGTCATCAGAGGAGGGCAGGCAGAGAAAGAGCTAGAGAACAGGATGGAAAGATGACTCATATTAAGAATAGTTGGCTAATCTCCTGATCCCCTGGTGCTTCTGGTTACAGCTGATCTGTTGAGTTCTCTGATCTATCCAAGGAAAATGAGATAGCATGGGTTTCTTTTTTATCCCTGAAACTAGGGATAGAAACATAATTGTAACACTTAAATGAACTCTAATCCTCACCTCCCAACCTCTATACAGATAGTCCTTGACTTACAGCAGTTCGTTCAGTAACCATTTGAAATTACAATGATACTGAAAAAGTGCTTATGACCATTTTTCACACTTATGACCATTACAGCATCCCCATGGTCATGCAATTTTTATACGGATGCTTGATAAGTGACTCACATTAATGATGGTTGCAGTGTCCCAGGGTCATGTGATCACCTTTGCAACCTTCTGACAATCAAAGTCGATGGGGAAATCAGATTCACTTAACCACTGTGTTTCTAACTTAACAACTGCAGTGACTCACTTAACAACTGTGTCAAAAAAAGTTATACAATGGGGCAAAACTCATTTAACAAATTTCTCACTTAGCAACATAAATTTTGGGTTCAGTTCTGGTTCTAAGTTGAGGACTACCTGTATAAGATGTTTCAGAAGATTAAAAATGAGGGAAATGAATTGAGGGGAGACCATTTGGAGCAAAAGTGAGGAAGGGTTGGCTGCTTACACTGATCATTTGGAGACTCATAGCATCCATTTTGACATAGGGCTAAAAGTATGCAATATCCTTTCGCAACGTTCTGTGCTATAACAATAAACTTATTTCTTTGTCCTTACTAGGTTCTTATGATCATTTTTTTAATTAGATAAGAATTAAAATATGAAAACACAATGTTTTTATACTGCTTGAACTGAATATTGTTTATAAAATCCCCTAAGTCCCCATACCACTTTTCCTTGACTTTTCCTTAACTTTCTGTTTTCTCTATATTTTCTTAAATTCCTATTGGAAATGTTTCATTATGTACCAACTCAAGGGATTTGGAGGGATTGAAGTTGTAAGATAATAACTCTAAGTGTGTTTCCTTAAGCAATGTGCCCCAATTTAAAGTGGGATAGTCAAGACATTTTGATTTCTACTAGCAAAATGGTGTGACCTCCAGCCCCCTTTATTTTTTAATTTGTCAAGAGGCAAAGGAATGGGAGTGTTTAATCAACGCACAGTGGCCTTTCAATTTTCATTTTCTCAAATTAATAAAAGCATAAAAATGTCTGAAGGAAATATTTTGAAATGTCACATTTTATTTGCAGTTTTTCTCTTTAATTTTGTAGCTCTAAATATAGGTTCTTGTTCTTTTGCTTTCTTTTCTCTATTTTTCTTTGTAATGGAAACTATTAATGCAGTAGGAAAAAGGAAACAGGTTTAGCGGGGGAAAGATGATCCAGTACAGTTACAGGCCACCCCCTAGCTTTTTTTTTAATATATATCTTTGTACTTGTAATTTTTCTAGGAGGTTATGAAACGTTTTACTCACAATATCCAGAGTTCTGCATAGATGCAAAACCTCTGTCCCAAGAGAAGATTGAAACTGAGAAAAACATCAACGGCTTGCATGAGAAGCAATGCATCCACCAGAAGCCAGCATATGATCAGGTATGTTTAGAAGAAGATACGATTAATCTATTCATACCCAGGTTCCTTGGGGAATCTTTCTGGCATTTTCCACCGTTTACTCATTTATTCAGATTGGTAACATGACAAAAGGAGTCAATTCAAGGAAGAAATTGAAACAACAGCTATTCCTACCTATCTGCAACAACCGTATTGAACTGACTCTTGTAGTAGAACGAGGGTAAAGATTTTTAGAAGCTGAAGTGCCAAAGCAGCAACAGGAGGTTTAATAACCTCTGTTAGGATTTCCACCTATTGCAAACTCTTTCAACCTCAATACCACAGTTGTTCATCACAGGAACATCTATTATCTTGAGTTTATTGAATAAAAACCATCCAGAAAATCTATAATGATTTATTCCTCTTTTATTTTCCAGGGTGGTCCAGTGGAAATCCTGCCTTTCCTATACCTTGGCAGTGCCTATCATGCTTCCAAGTGCGAGTTCCTTGCCAACTTAAACATCACTGCACTCTTGAATGTTTCCAGAAAGAGTTCTGAACCCTTTATTAACCAATTCTGCTATAAGTGGATTCCAGTGGAGGACAGTCACACAGCAGACATCAGCTCACACTTCCAGGAAGCCATAGAATTTATCGGTAGGTGAATTTTCTCTCTTTCTCGTACAAATGAAAAATAAGAACTCTTGAATCATGAAAGGAAACCTTCCTTCACTAGTGTCAGGCTTCAGACTCTTCTTCCCCTTCCAGGAGCATTTCAGAGGTTTATGAATTTTTGTTTTTATAGGGTTCCGTGGTCACAAACAGCTATTAATTGCTATGGTAGTTTTTATAGTTTTTACAACCATAATGCTGACTATAATAATACCTACTTCCATGGAAATCTGTATGGTCATTTGTACTTTGCTTACCTCGCCTGCCACTTTTAGTTTTGGCTTGGGTCTTTTGTGATGGTTTCTTTGACTAGAATATTTTTAATTATTTGTAGTTATTATTCATGTTCATTATTATTCATTTTGATATGTGCCATGTGATAGATGAAAAAAGATAACATGCAAATATTTTAAATAAATATTTCCACAGAAATATTTAACTCGATTCATACTAGCAAAGGCAGTCTAATGGTATAGTAGATTTACTACAGGCACTTTGGGAATTTTGAAAAAAAAAGTATATAGACAAGTAGTCTATAAGCCATCCCTCCTTTTCCTGTGAATGCAAACCCCTCACACTTCCCATCCCCAGCCTCATGTTTCCACAATGTAGGGCTAAGCATTCTAATTGTACTGCTGGGTGGGAAGTGTGAAAGAAGTTCTCTTTTAAGTGTTGAGTAGGACGGTATGAGACTGAAAAGAAATGAGTTGGCACATACAGAAGATACAGTTAATGCCTGTTTACTGGGATACTTTGAGCTTTTGTGTATTCTCTGTGTGACGACCCAGGGTGGGATACAAAACAAACACAGTCAAGGAAACAAGTGAAGCCCCTTTTATTCCTTCAGTTTGCTTCCAAGCTCCGAATATCTTTGACGAAAGACCAAAAATACTCCCACACAGTTACACGAAGAAGGAAAAAAGCAACACAAACCAGGCAAGATAAGGGCTGGAGGATGTTCACAGATAACACACACTGGGAAGAACGCCAAACTCAGAGAGGAACTATAAACAAGAGATATTTACACGATTTGTTTCTAGCGTTTGCCAGTATGTAGGTCCAAACTCTTATTCAGTTGTTACACCTGCAGCCCATGAAAAGGATCAAGGCCCTCTCCTCCCGAGGAGACCATGCCTCTCCCTTATCCTCTCATCCCTGCATGCCCTAGGATGGATAGGGGATGGGCCTGGTCCTCCTCTGACTGCTCAGCCTGCCTCTGCCCTTCCCCAGCCTCCTCCACAACCTCTGGAGCCACACTTCCACTCCCCATTGGCTGTTCTGCCTCTCCCTCAGTGTCAGTCTCAACCAGGGGCATGACACTCTGGAACTCTTTGAGTAGGTTCTTGTCAAACTCATTTCTACGGAAGACTTAATATTTTTCAAATACTTTTAGCTGGCTTATACATTTTATATACATATACAGTACAGAGAAAAAATAAATAAATGATAGGGTCAAATAGCTAGACATCTGATAGATCTGTGCAAAGCTTAGGTAACCAACCATATATGTAAATATCTTGTGGAAGCTGTGAAGAGACAGATATAGTCCATTAGAGGTAAAAAACTGGCATGTTAACATATAGTTAACATTTTGATGACAGTTTTCTATTAATTAAAGAATTGCAATGGAAATTCTAGTATAAAATTATGGTTAAGTCCTATGCTATTTGGAAAAATTCACCAGTCCCTAAATAGGATAGCTTAGGCTTTAGCAGGTTCATTAGATAGGCAGGATTGCCTAATTTGTTTATCCATGGATTATAGAGCTCAGTTCAGTTATTTACATAAATTGTTTTAAAAGGGTAAATTATTTGGATATGATTCTTGAAACATACTGTTTCTGGCTTTTTGAAGAAAAAAATCTAATTCATATCCAACTAAGAAGCCACCCATTCAAATCTTTCTCTTACTATTAACTTATTAGGTAGCATTAAGCAACGTCTCTTGGTCTCTGCCTTCACCCTTATCCTTCAGTGAGAGAGAGTATCCTAACTAATAAAATTTATTAACTTACTATCTTTATATTCCACTTTGAGTTTGAGATGTTCTCCCCATTTTCCCTCAACAGCAGCTTTGTGAAATGTGGTGGCTCAAGGTCACCAATGATTTTCAAAGATGAATATTGATTTAAACCTAAATTTTTGCAAGAACTGATTTCTGAGATTCTAAGCACTTTACATATCAATGCCTATTCAATACTATGTAGTAAATAAAGTGTTGGTTCCTTGCTTTAAAATAAAATGATTTCTGTGGATGCTTCAGGAAGCTTTGTAATAACACTTAGGGAGTATGTGATTCTGGGTGGAGTATAGTATGGACTGCAAATCTAACAAGTTTCACAATAGGATAAAACTTGGAAATTCATTTCCTAGTCCAGATAAAGCAGTTCAGTACTATTTATAAATCCTTGCATTTTACACAAGGAGCTTATTTTCAGCATTTTCTTTTTAATCTTATAACAATAATTGAATTGTGTGAGTAACCTTGGGGCCTCCCATTGCGTAAAATGGTAGCTTTGCTTAAGCCATTTATAGTTTGATTTAAGTCCAAGTGCCACTTATCAAGGATTGTAATTAGGGATTTTAGAGTAGTTTATTGTGCAGTTTGTGGTGGAAACCCCAGGAGCCCAGGGTTTGGCATCTTGGGTGCAAAATGCATACTGAACGTCTACCAAAAAGATAGGGGACAAAGGTACTGCTTTCTGTGATCCTAGTAAGCAAGGAAATGCACTCATTTCCATCTGCTTTGAGAGAGTAAATAAAACTTTTTACTGCTACCGTGTGTTTCTTATGAAAAGCATCAAACTGTTTCAGGATTTTTTATAAAACTGTAGAGTCCATTTTATTAAACATCTGCTGCTATAATGTGGCTAGATTTGGCAAGGGTGAAGGGAAAGAGAGAAGTCTTTTTATATACCACACAGTCAGTAAGAGTTGTAATTTTTGTGTAAATGTGGCCAACAAGAATAGGAGAAATTATTTCTTGGTGTTCATTGCATCTGTAAAATACCTGCTGAATGTCCTTCTCTTAGCAATCTGAAATGAGTGTTAAAGTGCTTCGCATCACGGCATTTATTTATGTTTTTTTGTTTGGCTGCCCACCTTAACTAAGGTAATTCTAGGCAGGGAACCAAAAAATTAAAATAAATCCAACAAACAGGAACCAATTTTTAAAAATTAGTCAAGGTCAGATATATGTTGGCTTTGCTGAGATCTGGACCACAACACCAGGAGGAAAAGCCAGATCCTTCAAGGTCTTCTGGAAAGCCAATAGGGCCAAGACCACCCAAAGCTCAAAGGAATATTGCTGGACAAGGCAGGAGCCATAGCATAGCATGCTACCAACAGAGGCATTCACTAATAGTGATTGCAATAGCTTCCATATTTCATCCATTTTATTTCTTCTTTTCAGATTCCACCAGACGGGCAGGGGGCAAGATCCTGGTGCACTGCGAAGCTGGGATTTCTCGCTCTCCCACCATCTGCATGGCTTATCTGATGAAAATGAGAAAATTCCGCCTGGAGGAAGCATTTGACTATATCAAGCAACGGAGGAGTCTGATCTCACCAAACTTCAGTTTCATGGGGCAGCTGTTGCAGTATGAGTCAGAAATTTTATCTTTGGCTCCTAGCCCTCCTGTTGCATCTTGCAAAAGGGATGCGGTGTCTTTCTTCACAGAAGAGCTGGCTCTAAGCAAAAGTTTTCCCTTTCCTACCTCGGTTTTGAATTCAGTACCCCTGCATTCACCTGTCCATCCACTAACGCTGAACTCTATTGCTGCAAATTCCTCATGCTGGGCCCTCTTGGGAACAAGAGACAGTACAGTTCCATGAGGTGAGGTGATGATAACTAGACATTTCATCTATACGCAATACAGAAGCCCTTATTTATTTCATTTTGTTCCAGACACTGGAATGACTGTCTACATCAGAAGGGAAAATATGCTTTTATGTTGAGGTGGAGTGGAGGATGAGTTTGGTGTATTGAAGCTCGGGTCAGCTATGCAATTTGGAGTTATCACATGCTAAATTTAGCAAATTCCAGGTTTTCGGCTCAGATAATCTGAGGACTCCACTTAGAACTTGGAGATATTGTTCCCAGAAGTAAATGCCCCTCATTCTGGATAAGAACTTCAGTTCTGTAGTTCTTGGGTGGGTTACTGCTTTGAAAGAAAAAATCTCTTCAGAGGATAATGTGTGCATATTTATGAGTGTTTTAAATAATGTCTGAAATATTTGTGCATTCACTACTGTATATCCAGACCTTGCTGGATTAGAAAGAACCACATTTTTAAAAAGTTACTCAGACCTGTCTGATTGCTTCTTAGTTCCTGCCTCCTTCCCTCTTTTAATTATAGACATGCGTTGAAGTGTAAGCAATAAACAGCTGTGTCAGGAAAAAAAGCTGTATCAAAAAGCACAATTTACAAAAGAGCAAACCTTGATATTACTTGGTAGTGGCAAAAACTTGAATGCTTGCCTTTTTTTTCTTTCTTTTGTGGGTTCCAAAAATGTCATAATCTGCCATATGCAAGTGAATTAGAAAGCTGGAAAAACAAATGCCTTTCCCTTTGCACCAATCAGCCTCCATTACTTTGTTGGTATACTACAGAGTTCAAGATTAAAATTGGACCCTTACTTGAAAGCCTCTGCTTCATACTGTTATCAGCAGAATGAAGTAAATTGGGGAGATAATTTCTAGTTATTAAAGCTGCAAAACTCATGAGGATTTCATACATTATTCTCCAACCCAGTCCAGTTAGAGCTGAATTTTCATCTGATGTGCTTCTGCTGTTTTAACTATAACCCCTGTTATCATGAGCCAGGATTTCAAGGGGATAACTTGGTGTGTTTTATTCCTTATGCTACAAAATTGCTGTTTTCAAAAGACAGTGCATTGATTTTGTCATAATGCTATATGACTATGTAACACAGTTATAACACAGCTTGTTTGGTTTTCACAACTTGAGCATACCCACCATGTCTTAGCATTATAACAGGGGCTCTATGAGCCATTTGGTAATATGGTAAACCATGGTTTGAAAAATATTATCTTAAAGTTGATATGTTGACTTGGTAATACGGTAAACCATGGTTTGAAAAATATTATCTTAAAGTTGATATGTGAACAGAGCCATTTTCTTTCCTATATTTCATTGTACTATAAGAGACACCCACAACATCATCCTTCAGACATTATTCTTCATATACTACTAGAAAGCCTTAGCAGTTCTAGAAGTGGCAATATAACCTACCTTTCTTTTGATCTATCTTAGCCACCCAATAACAGATTAGCAGGGTGATAGCTACAACTAGCTATTCAAAATACTGTACTGCCAAATTCCAACCTGCCTGAATTAACAAGGGGGGCAATGGGTGGACTTCCTTGTCCTCAAGGCATAGTTGAAGACTGGACTGTCTATAAGGTGTTTACAGATTCATTCTAAGATATTAGAATGGATATCTGGTGACAGAAAGCCCAGTGTTTCACAATGAGGTTTGACATGATTCAGAAGGCTAAACTGCCGCGAAATAATTGCATGTTAGTCACTGGGTCATATGTAAGACATAGCTAGTGGGCTGCTAAAAGAAAAGAAATTGCTGTATGTAATATCTGACAGCTGTACTCTTAAGCTCTTGATTTTTATTGATTGAACTGGCCAATGATGTCAAAGCAAGTTTTGTAACTGAACAGACAATCCCATAGCAAATTGTTACATAAAAAACAGTTTTGGAATTTCTAACTTTGTTCTGTGAAAATGTATTTTTCTTTGTACATTGAAATTTGAATTTATGTGTTTTTAGATTTTTTTTAATCGGTGGGGGGAGAGAAGACGGACAATCTGAAAAACAATAAATCTATCAAAAAAGTGTTTTTCAATTGAATGGCAATCCTTACTGAATGACACGTGGACTGGTGTTCCTTGTGTTGATTTTTTTCATTTCACATTCCTGCCTATGGAATACTTATTTCTTAGCAAATGGGACTAAAACTAAAACAAGCAATCTGTGTGTTCCCTGCAGATGGCTCCATGATCTGCTGTGGCTTTGTCCTGTCAGTATTACTTTTTTCTAAATATGGGAAAAGATAAGAATTGTTTAGTAAACTTGTGAATGTGAATGAAAGCATTTTAAAATAAATATTTTAAAAATGTTTTGTTCCACAGATTGCATGCAGTAGTAGGTATTTTGTGAGGATACTTGAATTAGGTTTTAGAGAACATTTTTTTTCTAAAGGACTGACATGCTGACAAAGAGATGAAACTAACAAAGCAGTAGTGGGATATAAATGCATTTACTCTGAGGGAAAGGAAGTGTATATGCATCAGCCCTCCCAGGTAAAACACGCAGGAAACATGAGCAGATAGACTAATTGTATTTAATCTTCAGACTACATTAACAGAATATTTCAGGTCTGAAAATACAAATCTCCCACTGTCACTTTTAACAGTGTTGGGCTTCTCCCCTCTTTTATTTGACTATTCACTAGGCCAGTGGTACCCAACCTTTTTTTCGCCCTGCACCCCTAAAGAAATTTCACTCGAACCTCGCACCCCCTGAAATAAATAATAAATGCCAACATATAGCCAATATCCTATTATTTACCTGGACTTTTCTCGCACCCCCTGCCTCCAGAAGTTGTCGATGCTACTGGAGGTTTTTAAAATGAAATTGAACAATCATGTGTGAAATTGAATAGGATTGACTGCTTAAGCAGAGGGGTGGACTAGAAGACCTCCAACGTCTCTTCCAACTTAGTTATTCTGTTATCTAAAGTAGCCCCACAGAATAATACTTAGTTTTGTAATGACCTAGAAGTATTCAAAGCATTTAAAATATCCATCCAAGCATCTTTCTATCTCAGTAATATACTGGCATTGTAAGATAAAATATTTCAGCTGTTTTTACATAGATTTTAACTGGTTTGTTACTTTTTATTACTTTTGTTCTACTGTTTTGTACTGTACTTACTTTGGTTCTGTTTGCTATCCTGACTACTATACAAGAAGCAAGACAGGGCACACACTATATCACGGGTGTCAAACTGCTGGCTCATGGGTCAGATGCGTCACACACAGGCCACACCCACCCCAGCTCAGCGAATGGGGAAAATGTTGCAAAATGTCACATGACGGCAAAGTGACGCCAAGAGTTTGACACACGTGCATTACATTTTAAAACTATTATTTCTCTATGGCAGTGAGAGAGCTGATCAAGAACCATAGATGTTCTGTTTTTGGAAACTACACTTTACCCAAAAGATAATTAATATAGTTCAACAGATATAATTATACCTGCTAATCAGGGGTGGAATTCTACTGGTTTGCACCAGTTTAGTAGAACCAGTTGTTACCACGGGTGGGATCCAAATGTCTTAACCGGTTCTGTGGATGTGGCCTAATTTATGGGTGTGGCTTGGTGGTCACATGACTGGCTGGGCATGGCTTGGTCATCACGTGACAGTAGTGTAACAAAAAAAATCCATTTATATATTTATTTATGTTTTTAGTATGTTCTGTTTTTATGATTAATGAAAACAAAACCTATACTAAAAAAAATATTAAAAGTTGTTATAATTTATAGTATAGATTTTGTTTTTTATTAATCATAAAAACAACAAATACTAAAAACGTAAATAAATACATAAATGAAATTTTTTTGTTAACACTACTATTATTGTTACATGGGAGAAACAAACAGAAGTATCAACATGAAGCAATCATAATAAAATAATTTTCATTTATGTATTTATTTTTAGTATCTGTTTTGTTTTATTAATCATAATTTTAAATAATTTTAAATAATTTTTATTAATTTTTAGTATAGGTTTTGTTTTTATTAATCATAAAAACAACAGATAAAAACATAAATGAATGCATAAATGAATTTTTTTTTGTTACACTACTATCACGTGACCAGCAAGCCATGCACGGCCAGTTATATGACCATTAAGCTATGCCCACCAGGTCACATGACCACCAAGCCACACCCACAAATTAGGCCACACCCACAGAACCGGTTGTTAAGAAATTTGAATCCCACCCCTACTGCTAATGCTCTTCTTGTATTTTCTTTTCTGGATTGTTGCTTACAGATGCCAGCTCATTCCTTGTATTGCCCCCAAAATATTTAACCACTGAAATGGGGAAATTAACATTTGGGCAGGGGAGATGTTGCCACCAAAGTTGCACAGTTCATTACTCTGACATTTGTGCTCTAGCACACTGCCAGCTTGTTATGAAACATGACTAATTTCTCTAAATAAGGCAAAGGAATCTAGTTTGGGAAAGGGTTGAATCACTCAAGTCAATCGAATAAGACACTACCATTAACTGAACTTCTCAATTTCAGTATCCTTTTTAAAAAAATGTCTGTGTTGTGAAATGATAAAACTGGTTCTTTCATTTTATATTAGTCAACTATTTCGCAGACTGTTTTACGGTTATGAGATAAACTCCATTCCTCCATTACCAGTAATAAGGAGTGTCTTGTCTGCAGTTTCTAAAAGCAGAAACTAGGCACACACACACACACACACACACACTTAAGTGAATTTACTCCAGATACACACTTCCAATCATATTTCTCCTCCCACTCTATTTCACTATTAGGAAGGCTTCCAGAAACTGCTTTAAATCTATCTCCTTAAACTTGGGTGTCAAGATACTACAGAAAGGGGAAATTGGTGCATAGTAGCATGTTCATGAGATTGCAGAAGTGCCAATTCTAGATATTTTAAATAAGTCCTACACAAGTATTCCATGGGCAGAGCTCATCAATTAAAATAAAGTGTGGGACATTGGGAATTTCTTAGAAATAAGACACTACACGTACAATTACACCGTATTTCAAATAAAGGAAAATGGAGAGCAGCTCAGGAAATGATTGTAGACTCATAAAAAGAATGTAAAGTGACATGTTTAAGAAATGGAGGATAGGTATAATCACCAAGAAGATAAGCTGTTAAGTACAGATAGTCCTCGACTTACAACCAAAATTGAGCCCAAAGTTTTTGTTGCTAAGTCAAACATTTGTTAAGTGAGTTTGCCCCCATTTTATGACCTTTCTTACCACAGTTCTTAAGTGAATCACTGTTACTATTAAATTCATCAAACTATTGTTAAGTAAATTTGGCTTCCCTGCTGACTTTGCTTGTTAGAAGATCACAAAAGGAAATCACGTGATCCCTGGACACTGCAACCACCATAAATATGAACCAGTTGCTAAGTATCCAAATTTTGATAATGTGATCATGGGGATGCTACAATGGTTGTGAATGTGGAAAGTGGTCATAAGTCCCTTTCTGCAGTGTGATTGTAACTTTGAAGGTCACTAAATGAACTGTTGTAAAATGAGGAGTACCCATAGCTGGGTACTAAAACTCTAGAGGAAATAAAGTTTTCAATGGAAAGTACAGTAATAAAAATGGTTTTGAGAGATATTTCAGCAGTTAGAGAAATAAAAAGAAAAACTTGGACCTCCTGTTGGATCACCTTCTGGAACTCCAGAAGGTGACAGGCTGATAACAGGGAACAGGGAAAGGTCTTAATCTTGTTAATTTTCCAAAGAAAAATAAACTCCAAATGTTGTATGCAGAACAATTGATACAAGAAACCATTGAGTAACCAAACTAAATAAAGAGGCAGCAGCCCTTAACAGAATTAACTCTCCATGATTAGATCAATTACATCAACTCGATTTCACTGAGGGCCGCATCAGGGCTGTGTTTGACCTTGGGGGACAGGTGGGCATGGCCAGCTCAACATCACTCGTGTCAGGGGCACCTTGATAGCCTAAGTGCTCTGTCAGTGAAAATGGAGCTTGGGAAGCTGCAATGGCCTCCTGCAACCCTCTGCCAGCGAAAACAGAGCTCGGGAGGGCCCTCCTGAGCTCCTTTTTTTGCTGGCAGCGGATTTTAGGAGGCTGTTGAGGTATTCCCTATTAGGAGAATGAGTGCACGCAGGGAAACGTAGTGAGAGTGGTGAGGAATAACACACAACCAGCATACAGATACACTGAATAGTAAAATGTAGGTTTTACTTCCAGTAAACAGGTAAACAAA